GGTGCCGGGGAGGGAGGCGGGAGGTTTGCCAGCCTTGGAGGGCTCCTGGGCATGCCCAGCCTGTCTCGCTAAGTGCCAATCGGCCGGACCCCAGCTGCAAGCTAACCTATTGGTCAGAGTGTCTGCCCCCTGGTGGCAGTGCATGTCATAGCGAGTGGCTGAGAGCCTTAGCCTATCATTAGCATATTACTGGTTGAACAGATGACCAGACAACTGGACACTTAGCATATTAGGTTTTTATTATATGGGATAACAATGGGGATACTGTAAGAATTTAGTCAATGGAGAATTAAGACCAAACCCACAACTAGCTAAAATACATTAAGTCTGTCAAATGTAAACCAAACCGTCAACTGGTTATTTTATCTTTGAGAAATGGCCTTTGCGTCAATTTGTCACTCAGCAAAAATACTTGCGGCCAAGATGTTCGTGGCAAAAGAATGCTTGTGATGAAAATACCTAGAACTCTCCTCCTCAGCCTCACTCACTGTTCAGTGGGACATCATTTCACCTAGCATTTCAACAGGACACCTCTCGCCTTGCCTCCCTTTTCCCACCATTGTTTCCATCCTCACAAATCTCTAGGTAGTGAGCCAGCTCTAGAGCCAATGAAATTCGAGTTTAAATCCTGTCTCATCACTTAACAGTTCCATGAATTTGAGAACCATTAAAATGAATTACATAACATTTTTCTCACAAGTGGTCTTTATTCAGACAGTGTTATTCAGAAAATATTTAAAAATTTAAAAGTGGTGCAAGCTGAAGCCAGCGGGATGGCTCAGTATCCATCTTGGCTTCCTCACCTCTAAAATGATCCTAATGCCAGGTGGTACTTGAAATATCCGGGGAATCACTTTGTACATTGTGGTTGTCAAACCACTATCCTGCATACCTAAAGCTAATATAAAATAATATTAAATGTCAACTGTCACTGAAAAATAAAATGAAATAGTTGAATGATCCTAATAATGCTGGGTTCTTTTGAGGATGATATTACTCATTGTGTAATAAACATTGAGTGATATCCACAGTTCAGGCCTGGGGCTGACATTCTCCTCAGATAAAAGAATACTTCTAAGTGGGAGACAGAGTATAATTAAATCGGTCTTCCATTCCATCAAGCTACCACTTCCCTTCATTTCTAAACTTATTAAGAGAAAAGTCTATACCCACTAACTCCACATTCTCCCCACCCCTTAGTTTCCTATAATCAGACTTCGGTCCTGACCACTCTGAATTCAAACCATTCAAAGAAAAAATGTCCTTTAATAACTGACTTGCTGCTTTTCCCTCCCTTGATTTCCATGACACAATATGCCCCCAAAGCCATTCTATTGCCCCTCTCCTTTACAATCTCTTCTTTCAACATCAAACTTTGTCCAAAGGTCTTTTCTTATGACTCTTCTATTCATGGATGGAATTCCATCATGACACAACCTCAAGTCACCGTAACAACAATAGCAACAACCATGAGGATAATGCCAAGACCCATGGAGCACTTGCTATGTGCCAGATATTCGCATATATTAACTCATTTGATCTTCACAACCAACCCTATAATGTAGAGTAAACAGACTATTAGCCCTACTTTATAAATGGGAAAAATTGAGATTGAAACTTTTGAGCTGATAACTCAAGGTACAGGTGTAAACTGCTTTAAGCTCTCAGCCCACATTTCTTGGGATTATATAGCAAAAAAATTGTTAAAAAGTAAGACATAGGAGTTGACTGATTTCTTGGCATCAAGGTACTTACTGGCAGATCTGGGCCTCTTGACTCCTCACTGTCAACTATATCACACTCATATTCAATAACTTTAGAAAACATTGGGCTAACTAGACTCAGAACTAGCTTAAGGCGTTTCTGGTACCTCCTGCTTCTCACAAACACATACCATGAAAAAAAAAATGACCTGCCGGCTCTTCTAAGTTCCTAAAATACTGTTCACAAAGCTAGGAGAGCTCAGAAATGCTCATGTAGAACACCTGGTTTCATGCACGCCTTTATTCTCCTCGCTGGGTTACGGGATCCATGACAGAGGGTACTAAAATGTATTCATTTTTGGCTTCCCGATGCCTAACACAGTTCCTTCCACATCCTTACTTTGACCAAATATTCCTAGAATCAAATTCAACCTATTATATTGCTATATTCAAGGATCATATTAAGGTTTAAGTATAAATGCTTTAAATATATCATAGACAATTACATGACAATTTCAGTTGAAATTGAATTTGTAAAGGAGATCTCTCTGCAGGCTATATTCTAATTAATTCATGACATTTTTCAAAGTACATTAAATCACATGAAATCATTTCCATTAATGACCTTTTCTGCTCTCTTCCTTTCACAAAAGCATTAAACCTAATCATTCTTTACTTCTTTACTCTTACATCTTTCATGAAGAACCAATTTATAGTATGTTAAACTTCCTAACCACCTTAATCCCATCAATACCTTTGCCTTGCACAATAGAAACATAATTTAGCTCTTCTCCTCTTTTCATACTTAGTATGATTATTGATTATATTAATTATAACATATTATCATAAATGTGCATAGATATGTAACTACCTAAAAATGGGAAGAAACAATGCCACACGGAACCACTTCAGAGGTTATCTCTGAGGAGAGCAACAAAAGCAAGCAAAGGCAATAGAAGAAGACTTCCATGCTGCGCCACATGTGTCTTCATGGGCCAAACTTTTTGAAATGGGACCAGAAAAGAAAGACAAGCAGCTGGGAGGAGAGATAGAGAAAACAGCAGCCATAGCTCCTGACATCACCCCAGAGGCTCAGCTGTGTATCTGGCTCTTCAGTTCTGTTTCTGGTTGGGCAAACGTGAGTGGCTTTATGTTAGTAGCAATCAAAATAACCTGTCTAAGCCAGGGGTTGATAGCACACTCACAGTTGATCGTTGTAGTTAAAAGTATACTTATCTTAGCGGGAATGGCACACCTCTTCACTCCTGTATCCCTACTGTCATCTTACCACACAACTTCTCTAACCACAGAACTTCCTACTATCAGAGTAAACAGAACATAGAAAACTTACACTAAAAATGCCTCCTATTTCCCCAAACTTCATATCCTGATTAACAGTATAAAGACAGAAAATCCATATTGTACCTACCCTGTTTAAAGATCCCAGGACCAGTTTGTGAATATCATTCCTGAAACACTGATTTGTAACAATTTTTAGCTTGTGTTTATATTCGGTATCTTCTGTGACTTCCTCTGGCATGCCTAAAGGCAAAAATACATACATAGATACATACATATATACATACTTTTCTCATAAATATTTAAGCTGAACAGATTGTCACTTGCTAGGAATGATCATAATTAATATACTGTACTTTTTTTCTAATACATTTTTTCTTACCAAGGGGAAAAAGAACCCTAGCCTCACTTAGGAATTTATAGAAGTAGTTCATCATTGAATATAAAATAAATACAGTGAGTGTGGATGTTTACTGAAAGGAGCAAAAAGCAAGAAATTATTTTGGTTGAGGAATTTTCTGTGGCAAACAATCTCTTTTTTGTATGAGTAGGCTGTACTCATACAAGGAGCTAGAAGATTTTTGTGCAACAATGGACAACTTGAGAAAAGTTCAAATTTATTTGAGCTACCAAAAAAAAAAAGTCAGATATAAAATGTAGGCAAAAAGAGCAGTTGAAATAATAGTGAAAAAATAAAGATTGCATTTTAGTGCTGGGCTGGGAAAGAGCATAGAGTTTCCTGAAAAATTCCCTAAGGCTGTATATTGTTATTTAAAGGAAACATGTGCCTTATTAAGCCACGTTGTAGCTAACCTATCCAAAACTGTTAGAAAAAACCTGGACGTTAAAAAATTGATTATGCAATAGAATATTAAGTAAAATTATTATGAATGAATGAGGTTTCCAAAACCTGAGACAATAAAAACAATTATTAATAACCAATTATTTATCTTTTACTTTAAAAATTATATTAACACAAATTATAAATTGGCTGTGTGTAGCTTTTCATTTTTTAGCAAATGTATGCATGCCTGCTATCAGTTAGTAACTATGGTATCATGAAATTTTCTAAAATGCAGGGAATACCACAGTGGATAAGCCAGGCTGGATTCTCAGACTCCTGGAATTTGCAGCCCTCTTTTTTTTTCTATTGTTTTATTAGGTATCATCTGCATATTGCCAAGCAAATACATTTTTACTTAATTCAGTTTATTTGTTTTAACAATCCATCCGCAATATTTGTCCTTCTAGCATCATAGTTCTTCTAGCTATTTGAATACAGCTTCTCTCTCTTTTTTTTCTGCTTAAATACCATAAGATCTTATTTATATGTGGAATCTAATGAAAAAATAAACTGATAAACAAAATAGGACCAGAGGAATGAATACATGAAACAGATTGACAGATCTCAGAGGCTGGGGGCTAGGGGAGAACTGGAAGAGAGTAACCAAAGAACATATATGCACAAATGCATAGTCCATGGACACAGACAATAATATGGTGAAGGCCCGGGGGCGGGGGGGAAGATGAGTGAAAATGGGAGAAATCTGTAATAGTGTCAATAAAAAAATCAGTCCTTATTTTAAAATTTATTCAAACAGGTTCTGACATTCGCTATTGCTGTAGGATCTTGGGGAAGTCACTTAAACTCTGTGTCTCACTTTCAGTGACCAAGACCACATTAACCTCTGAAGCTGCCCATTACATCACAGCAGATGTGCCAAGAAAAAGCAGGCCTCTTGAGTAGTAAAAACCTTATGCCACATGTAACAAGTCTTATTAGACATCTTTCTTTTATTAAGACCGAATGAACATTTCCATAAATTTCATTTCTGGATTCTGTTACATCACTGAAGTTCTACTATCCAGAATGCATCTAATTTTCTTTCCACATAATAGCCCTTTAAACTGTATGGACAGCAAAGTTAATGAGAGCAGAATCCATAATTCAATCATCTCCAGACCCCACAAGGATTTCAAGCAAAGTGCTTTAGATATAACTGCTGTTCGATACACTGTAGTTGTACAAATGTGTATTTAAAAGTGCCTACTCAAGAGTCAGGCTGCAGTTGAACATCTGGCTCCATTATTTACGATGTCACCTTAAAATATCTGCATCTTTGACTCAGTTTCATCATCTGTAAAATGGCAACAACAACAAAAAGTAGCAACTGCTTGGTGGGATGCTGCAAGAATTTAAAAAGTTTATATACATACAGCACTTCCAATATACCTGACACATGGTTAGGTATTATTGTTATTAGCTATAAAAGAGGGGACTTTAATATAGTTTTTGTATCCTCCTGAGTCATCTCTTCTCCAAATTAAACAGATTCAGCCCCTCTTACTGCTATTATGGATGTGGTTTTATACTACTAATCACTTTCTTCTATGCACTTTCCAATTTACCTATGCCCCTTCTTAAAGAATTTTATGTTATTTCCACTAGAACTGACATGAGTCAAGAAAGAACAAGCCAAATGATATTTCATTAAAATAACTGGGTCTTGATTATTATTTTTTAAAGCAACTGGCTCAATCATTTCAATAAGTTAATGGTATTTTTAAAAGGTAGGAATTGAACAATACTAGATTTAAAGAAATTTAAGAGCCATAACACCAGAGGATATATGTGGTCTTAAATTGGATGCTGAATTATACAAACGTGCTATAATGAACATCTTTGTTTCAATTAAGGAAGTATGAATATGGTCTGGTTAATAAATGATGGCATGTACATCCAGATATCCTAAAAGCACCTCAAACTAACATGTTCAAATCAGAATTATATTTAACCTCAAAACTACTGGAGTACTGATACCACAGTTACTAAAAGCTATATAGACTGGTATGATAGGTTGTAGTATTGTACAGTAAGGTATGGTGCAGCATGGTGTGGTAGAGTATCAATATGATATGGTAGCATAGAGTAAAGTAGATGATTAAGCCTTTACCTAATAGAGAAATGTATGGTAATGGTAGGTTTAGGAGGATTTCATTTCAAAAGAAAAAAAAAACTGGGCTTCCAAAAAACTGGAAATTTTATAGAACCAAAAAAAAGTAATGTCCCTGATATCAATGATCAGAAAGTCATGCCAAATGTATCTCCGATGCCTTCATCCTCTCCTCCACCGCTGGGCCCCCGCCATATCATCCCCTGCAACCCTACATCCCTGTAACCAGGCTCTCCCCAATGCCCCTTGCCCTGTACACCACTGTGCTATTGTTATAAACTGCAGATCCGGTCATGACACAACAAGCTTAACCACCTTTAATAAGGTAGAACTGACTTCCATGAATAAAGCACAAGTTTCTCAGTGTTGCATTCAAGGCCCTACACTTCCAGGCCTGTGCCTGTCCTTCCACATTCGCCCTCAGGCACTGCTCTCCTCTGCAGCAGGCCGCATGGTGCACTTTCTCCTGCTTGAAATATCCTTCCTGACCTTTCTACCAGGTCAGCCCTGCTCACCCTTCCACCGCATTATCACTGTCTCTGACCTACTCCTTTGAATACATTCGTTATGTCTCCATCAAGTATGATCGTAACCTTTATACAAAGATCTAAAACAGCTCCTCTTCCATTGTCTGAAAATTCATTATTTACATGTTTATCTACCTCTGAGCTCCTAAAATAGTACAATTATGCTTGTTTCCCCCCACACACACACTTATCTTTCATACCCTGTAGCCATCACAATGTTTAGAACATGAGGCACTTAATAAATATGTGTTGAATGAATGGAGGAGCAGATGTTTTGAATGGCCTCTGAAGGACAAACAGGTCATAATAGATGTAAATAGGAGGTAGACGGGGGAGGAGATGGGAGCTATTCAGGTTAATGAGTAAAAATCACATGGTTCTGTTTGAGAAAGATTAATTCAGCAACAGTGTAAAAGGTCTGAAAAGAGCCAAGAGGAGCGTGAAAATTAGTTAGCTATTTTTATAGTTCAGACAAAAACAAAACAAAAATAACTTGGACTCAGTGATGCCAACAGAAATAGAAAAGACTTATTAAAGACTGATACTCTCCTTGGAAATACTTGCACTGTAATTACTTCTTGTGTAAATAAGTTATTGAACTTTCTTATTAAATTTCCTTATACATTAATCTGTTCCACATCATTTTCCTTTATTTTGGATTAGTGGAAAGAATTGCATTCGTTAGGCAGAAAATGGCCCTTTAATTTTTGCCTAGAAAGTTCATACTTGTAAGAAGACAAAACCCCATTTAAATTGCTATCTCTTCCCACAGTCAATTATGTAGCTTACCTGGAAGCAGGAAATGTAAAATGGCTCGAAGAGCCTCCAGCTGCACTGACAATGATGCCCCGTGACTTTTCATAACTGTTATTATTTTGGGGGCCACTGCTGCCATTACATCCAGGGAAACGTTACTAGAGATACAAGATTGAAATGCTTATTAAAAATACAAACTGATTTCCTTGTACAAGCACCAATTTGAAACAAGTGCATGGGAACAGAACCAATACATTCTATCAGAAAAGGCTATCTGAAAATGCATTTGAATTCAGTGATATGAGCATGCATAATTTTAATTATTCTTTCATTAAACTTTAACCTCAAGAAGTTGAATTCACAGTCACCTGGACATTCTTTTATTCCCTTTCAAATACTAATAACTCCCATATGAGCACCACATGGGTTACTGGCAACATCCCTGAAAAGTAGAAGTTATTCTCCCCATTTTCCAGATGAAGAACTTAAGCTGATAGAGGTTAAATATCAAGGTCCTATCACTAGAAGGTGAAAGAGCCAGGGCTAGAAGGTAAACTCACCTGACCCTCAAGGTAAGGGCTCTTTACATCATACTGCACGTCTCTTCTAGAAAAACAGCACCAGACTCCTCATGTCGTTTTCTTATTAGTTTTATTTGCATTAAAGTCTTGATTTCTTTAAGGCATTTTAACTATTCTTTCTTAATTTTATTTTACTAGAGACCCGATGCACAAAAATTTGTGCAAGAGAGGCCTTCCTTCCCCTGGCTGCTGACACCGGCTTCCCTCTGGCACCAGGGACCTGGGCTGGCTTCCCTCTGGCCCCGGCTTCATCAGGAAGGATGTCCGGAAGATGTCCGGTCTAATTAGCACATTACCTTTTTATTATTATAGATTTTCAATTACAGTTTCCATTTAATATTATTTTATATTAATAATCATAAACTTTACAAATTAAAGTGGTCCCCTCGATATTTCAAATACCCACCTGGCCCCATACATAGTTATTACAATATTATTGATTATATTTCCTATGTTGAACCTTACATCCCATGACTAGTTTGTTAACTACCAATTTGTACCTCTTCAGCACTTCACCTTTGTGCCCCCGTCCCCCAACGCCCCTCCCCTCTGGCAACCATCAGTCTGTTCTCTGTACCTATACGTCTGTTTGTGTTTTGATTGTTTGTTTGTTTTGTTCTTTAGATTTCACAT